GGTCAAGCGGGAGAGAACGGAAGGACAGCGCAAGGGCTGTGGATCGTTTTGGGTCGGGACTATGCAGGCAGAAGTGGGATGTGACGGGGCGCCAAACGACTTGCAGGAGAGAGAAGAACGGGCGGCGAAGACGTGGCAGTAGATTTCCTGATTGAGACTGCCCCAGAAGGTGTCTTGGTTAAACTGCTGAAGGCGAGTAGCTGCCTGAGAAGCAAACTGGATGTAGTACTGATAGAATTCAGTGCCGCCAAATCGTAACGCGAGGTCAAGAATAATGGTCAGATAGGAGTCGAACATTTGTCTTCAGGAGGGAAAAGCGGTGCAGAGGATGTCTCTGTATAACGAGAAGGCTAGAGGAAACTCGACTGGAGTGAGCCCTTTTGACCGAGAAGGGGCCACACCACGTATAATAATGGAACCATTGTGGCCATCAATCACATTTTGAAGAGCAGGTTGCGTGAGAGGAGGAAGAATGAGCTTAGCTAAATCTATGTATTTACCAGCGATGATGTGTTGGCGAAGGTTAGCAGATGAAGAAGTAGGCTTTGGGGCCGGTGGGTTGGGAGGAGGAATTGCCATGGCCAGTGAAAACTGAGTAGTGTTAGCTTGAAGAAATGGAGCCTGGGCAAAAAGGCTAGGCCAGGTGCAGCTCTGAACTTCACTGATGGGAGGAGGAAAGGCTGCTGGGTTGGAGGGATGAACGATTGGACGGCTGGTTGTAGGAATGTTAGCTGAAATAAGGTGGGAAGGAGCGAAGGTGAGAGGACCTGGCAACCCTGTGCCGAGGTTAGCTGTGGTGTTTAACAGAGGAGGAATAAGGGGCTGAGAACCTAGCATCCCGGTGCTGAGGTTACCTGTAGTGTTTAGCAGAGGAGGAAAAGGTGGCTGAAAACCTGGCATCCCGGTGCCGAGGTTGGTGGCAGAGTTTAGCAATGAAGTAATATGAGGCTCAAGCCTGGCAACTCGGTGCCGAGAGTGTTTGTTGGGGCGAGCAGAACTGGCAACCCTAGACCAGTGTCACGCTGAGAGGGAGGAGCAGTTGAGGAGGGAGCATGCAGTGTCACGACTGGGGCAGCAGTCGTATGAAGGTGAGAAAGGAGGATCCAATAGCAGACAATGGTGGAGGTGCAAGTGGGATTTATTAACAGTGAACAATAACCAAGATGTAGGCAGAACTGAACATAAACCTAAACTGGGAAACCTAACACAAAAAGGAGGACACGGAGCGAGGAGCAGAGAGACACGGGCAAACACGGAAGAATCACTAAGAAACATAGAGGATGAACACAGACGGCGCGACGAGGAGCACAGGCAGACACGCAGTATAAATACACACACCAGGTAATCAGGAAATGGCACACAGGAGGGGACACAGCTGGAACTACTGAACATAACGAGTCACAACCTACAAAGTAAAACAGGAAACACACAGACTGTTTTACAGCACAAAACTTGGGACCCGAACAGAGCACAGAGGGAAGACACAGGTAGGGATGATGGAGACACAAAGAACAACTACAAACAGAATAAACTAGAAAATAATAATAGTAACACAAAGCGCTGGGTCACCGACCCAGGACCATGACATGCAGAGTGGTGGCGAGCTGCAGCTGTAGCTGGCTGGGTAAGGCTGAAAGAAGCGAGGAAGCATTGTTAATGGAGGCACTAGCTTCGTTTGTGCCCGGAAGAGGATTAACTCTGCGCTGAGATGTTAAGAGGAAACGGAATAATGTAGCCTTGTTATCGGATCGAGGAAAGGGGATGCCTCTCTCTTTCAGAACTCGTTGGAGACGGTCGACGGTCCAGGCGGAGATCTTCGTGGGCAAAGTATCTTTGGGAGACCTCACCAGAGCATGGGAATGGCGGTGCGATCTCGGAGTTGAACGCTGAGATTGATCGTGTTTCCAGGAAGCTCCGCGGGGCTGGAGATGCGCCTCAGGGTGATCCGGAGTGGAGCTCTGCCGAGAACTAGTACTGGGAGGGGATTGTCCTCTAGCAGGAGATCAGAGGTTGTAGTTTTGAGGGGAAGGGGAGCGACTGGAGCAGCTGTATTGTTGAATGGAGTGGAGAGAGGAGTTCTGGGGAATGCGAATGGCAGACCTGATGTCTGCGCGGCAAGGACGGCTGCTGGAGGGCGCGCTTGTAATAGGGCACTCTGCGGCAGCTCCACTAGGAAGATCGGTTTGCAGATCCCAAACTGCCAGGGGAAAATCAGGTGGAGAAATAGTGAGGTCTTGGTCCGATTGGCTGAGCGACGGGGAATCTATGGTGATGAGCCGAAGGGTGAGTAGGAATCAAGCTCTTAGAATCTGCGAGGCGTCTGGCGACGGGGGGTGTTTGCATGAAAATGAGAACAACAGGCATTGGAGAAGGGGGCTTTTTATAGCCTGAGGAGTGGTCCCGCTCCTGAAATTCAGATGAC